AATGGCTTCCTTCTCACAGTGAGTGTGTTTCACTGCTGACTGATAAAGTGCCAGTAAACTTCATTTGTGTTTATTTCAATTTGATACAAAAGTTAATACTGGGTGAAAGAAATCATATCCCAACATACCGAGCTGACAGAGTGGAGATGTTTTATGTCTGGACCAGTGCAGGCAGAGACTAAAATGTGTTGCTTGTTTTCCTGGCAGGGATTTGAACCCCGCCCTTGTTTTTCGGAGGGTATCGTCCCAAAACGCCTTCCTGCTGGAAGGAACAGTCAGAAGGACAAAAACACAAGACACTCATTTTTTCATATTTTAAAATATTTAAGAAAACATTTATATTACATAAACTGGACTGGACACATTTATTTGACTCAATGAATCAAAATGAACTAAAAATAACTTTTATTAAATAGAAAAAAATATATATAATTAAGATGAACAATGAAATGATGTTTATGTACAAAAAAAAAGAATGGAAAAAGAGCTGGAAAATGAAAATCTGTCATCTGTCTATCATACCCTGATACAGTTAAAGGCCCTTTCTCTACTTATTGAACAGTCACTAAACGGCCTGACAGTCTCAGTGGAATCTTGGCGTCTTTGGTTTCATTTATTTTGTAAAATACATCTGAAACTTATTTCAATTTAACTATATAAAAATAACTTTTCAATGGCAGTTTCTGTTTCGTTAATTCCGCAACGTCTCAGTGCAAACATCACAACAATCATTCGCTTTGGAAAGCAAGCGAAAGATCACATTTCAAGTATTTTTAAACAGTTGAGGAGTAAAGAAATGATTTAAGGATAGAAAGAAGACGCAGAGTTCAGCCTATTGGAGCAAATTGATTATGGATTTTATGAAGTTCTACACATTGCATAGCTCATGTGGCACTTGCTCAGCAATCTGACAGGACACTCTGTACCCGAGGAAGGCATTTTGTACAAGTGCTATTCAGGGTGTGCATTTCAGTTCCTGCAAGTGCTGCACTGCACTGTGGTGACCAGTTTGGTGGAAACTAGTCTTTGAGTCTGTAGGCTGTCTTCTGTCAAGCCGCAGGGAGGGAGATCAGGCAAAGGCCACCTGTGAGACCTTTTCTTCGTCTGGATGTCCCTTCACCAGAAGTGATGTTACGTGGAAGCTGAGCAGCGGCTCAGCATCCAAACCTGTGACTGGCCTCCAGCATTAAGCGCTGCTTATCAGTTTCCACTAGGAAGGACAGTCAGACTACATCTGCCTGCGTAGTGGAGAAGTGCTGGCGTTCTGAATTGTATAAGGTGATGAACTGACAGTGCTTTAAGAAAACAAGTTTCTTTTGTGCTTTAAGTACTTAAGAAGGTTGGAGAAAGTCTGACACCAGTATGTCCACTGGTTGATCCTGTCTTTGTCTTAAGCGCTTTAACAACTTCATTCAGAGGAGATAATGGGCCATTAGTTTTTGACTAGAAATGGCAAACTAGACCAAGATGTGATTTGGTGAAAATAATTTGCTTGTCACCCCGTCACTGAACGCAGGAGTTTCACTAAGTCGGAAAAAGACACGCTCTTTCGTCCCGACACACTCGTGTGGACACAACATCTAGGTTGTGTTTTCTGGATTAGAGCAGCTCTAGATATGGATAAATGGAGATGATGTTCTGCACAGAGAAGTCTTGCATGCACAGAATCTGCTGGGCAGACTCAAGCGCAGCCGCACTCCTCCACAATCATGTTGGGAACGTCCCGCTTCACGATGTTGTACTCGTCATCAAAGTAGAGCATGGACATGGTGCTGAGCTTGGTGGGATGCAGCAGGAGTTCACCGAGCCCGGACTCATGCCTCTCATGCGGTACTGGTTAACCACTGCTGTGTGGAAGGACGAAGCTGAGCCCGGGACGCCCGCCATGTAGGCGGGGCAGCTTCCCTCACAGTAGTTTCCATAATAACCAGCCGGAGCAATGATCCAGTCGTTCCAGCCAATGAGACGGAAGTCGATGTAAAACTGCTGCCGGCAACATAACCCCCCGCTGGTGCCGTCACATTCCAGCCCCCGCTTCCGAATGCGGTGCTTCCCGTCCACCTGATGCGCACGCACCACCAGGAAGGTCGGTGGGACGGGTCGCCCGGGTCCACCAGCACCGGAGTCACTCCGGACGCCTCGCACCCCTCGCAGTGCACCTCCAGGTGTCTCCTGCTGCCCTTCCCAAACACGGCCCGCACCGCCTCCGAGAGCGGAAACGTGTGCCAGCCGCTGCGCTTCAGGTCCACGCGCTTCTCCACCAGAACCCAGCGGCCCGTTGCCTCGTTCCCCTCTGCAGCTCCGGCCTCCTGGTAGTGAATTTTGACGGTGACCTTCCTCCGGAGGCCCTTCTCGGGTCCAGCAGGCAGCAGGCGGAGATACAGCCACAGGTTGGCCTGGGACACATGCAGGTTCTGGTGACCCTCATTGGAGATCAGGAAGTACAGACGGGTTTTAGCGTTTGTTTCTTCCTCTGTGGAAACAGAAGAGACAAAGCAGACGAATCAGTAACTTATCAACACACGGATGTAGGTAAAGATGAACATCACAACGGTAGATTCATCCACAACCTGAAAAATCGGACAACAAAGTCAAACAATAACATTCAGTCGATGAATTACTGCTTACTGTAGACAGACTGCCTGTAATTCTACAGCAATGCATTCTGGGTAATAAATACCATCTGCTGCACATGTGTGGAGAGCGTAAGACGTACCCGTTTCTGAAGTGCATGACAAACTTTTATCAGTGAAAAAATGTTTCAATCCCTTTAACACATGAGGCTGTATTATTATTTCAAATGAAGAAATGTGACCGAGTTCCAATCTGAACTGAAGAACTGGGATTCCTCATCTAGGGGTCAGAGGTCACATGTGGGGTTCGTCATGGTTCCATCCTAGGACTCCTCTCATTCAATATCTATATGATCCCACTGCATCCGGCGACAGCAGGACACAAAATGAGTTACACATTGTGATGTCACCAGGTGACCTTTGGCCCGATCACTGAACAGATACTGAGAACAAAGAAATGTGTGGATAAGACAAAACTCTGATCAGACACAGAAGTTATTAAAGAAAACAATCTAGAGTTCTAGATCTAGAACTATAGAATTATAGATCTATAACTGTATTGTTTTACGTAAAGTACTTTAATCTGACTTTTTGCTGAAATGTGATACACAAATAAATTTGAATGATTAGTAACATTTTATATCAACTATTTATGTTGCTAAATTTGATTTGTTGCAGATGTCCAAACATCTGCAACAAAAAATGAATTTCCAGTTTTTATCTTCAATTTACATAGCCTTAAAAATAAAGTGTAGATGCAAAAGCTACTGAAATGATATCTGCAACCCTGCAGCATCACTTTCAACATTCCTAAATGTTTGTCCATATTATCATATTTTTATCCTGTAATAAAGTTTTTCTATTCTTGAATTTGTCCTGTGTCCCTTTTGTATTTTTTTATCCAGCACACCTCACTAGACTTACTATGACATCCTGCGAGATTTTGTGGGATTTGAGTTTTTAAAAGTGGGCGGGGCCGATCGTTTGGTCTGGGAGAGCATGTGGTGGACAAGGAGTGTAGTGCTGCTACTGCTGCTTTAATACTTTTAAGCCACTTGTTTTTCAGTTTTTATTATGATGAGCTCACTGACATGCTAAGATGTGCCTCTGTTCCAGAACAGCTGATTCAGAGGATCACATGACCTTCTGCAGAGGCTGTTGATCACCACCGATTGAATCCAGCTGTGGCAGAAGAGAAACCCTGATCTAAACCTGCTGATTCAGTCTGTTGATCACTGGGTTAGTAACTGCTTAAACTGGACTATTGCTACTGGTTGGGATCGTTATATGGACATTTTTGAATGAATTTATTTCTAAATGTTTGAGGTTAATGGAAAATTGAACCAGTTACTTGATAGAAGATTATCCTGTATGCACGGTAAATAATTTTCCAACTACAGTACAAATCACCTTTTGCATTATTTTTCTGTCTCTGGTTTTGTTAAATCAACCTGATTTTACCTTAATGTTTTCTGATAAACAAACTTTATTTTAAATATTGATTCCGTCACTTTAACGAGAGCAGCATCATAAATGCTGCATTCTGCTGCAGCATCATAAATGCTGCAGCTTGACGGGTGAATGTCATTGTGTATGTCGACTAACATTGACATAAATCTGAATGAATATTCATGAGCGGGTCCTTATTAATATGACTGAGTGAACATGGGAGCCGAACGCTCTGTGATTCTTCCAGGACACTATTTCACATCTCCACGTCTTTCAGAACGTTTCTGATGTTTATGGTCTTTCTGCCTTCCTCCCTCTGATCCGTGTTTCAGCTGCTGCTTTGGCCCAGAGCCGACCGACTGCAGGGAAACGACAGCAAGTGGCTTCATTAGGCGCCACGGCAGCAAAACATCGGGAGGCAAAGTGACGCCGACCCGAGTCGGAGCCGGGTCGGAGCCGGGTCGGAGCCGGGTCGGCCCGTTTCCTGGTTCATACGGAACCGGACTGGACCTCATGGATGCTGCTCTTCATGTTCTGCCTGTCACCAGGAGTCAAATGTGTTGTTTACATAAATGCTACGTTAATGGCAGGTTATTTTTTAAGTTTGTGTTAACACATTTTTTGGAAATACGGTAATATTAAATAATTATCAATAACATAATACGCAGCATCTGCCAATAAAATGAACACCAGAAGAAACTTTTAATGGTGCAGACCTGTCAGACCAAAACATGAATCAATATTGATTTCTTACGTCACTCATAAAATCAAGTTCAATGTGGCTGTTGATCCACATTCAGATGATGGTTGAATCAACATTGATAGTGTCAGTTATGATGGAAACGTTGATTCAACATGTGAATCACTGTTTCAATTCTGTTTCAATGTAGATTCAATGTTTCTCTCATTTTGTGCTTTCTGGGTATGAACTAATCACCAGAGATGGTTTTTTAGGGTTAGTTAGTGCTGTAAAAATGCTAATCTACTTTTGAACATGTCTTTTGTGTAAGAACAGAAAATGAACATTTCTGACTTGCACTGCTAACCATGGGCGTAAATCCCAGAAGATTGGGCATCTAAATTAACAACCCTCCAGTATGTAAATACTTCCACATTTCTTTCTTTTCACAAGTTAATGTTAACTATTTTAATGTTTCTTCCTTTGAAGGAAGAAACATTAACAAAAATCAGACTGCAGTTCATTATTTCATTACTTTGGCTGATTTATGATAAACTGCCTCGTTATGCTTTAAATCAAAATTAGCTAAACTTCTACGTTGCTTTCATGGACTTGACCCTGTTTTGTTAAAGTCAGCAAATATCTGATTACATTTAAACCTTTAACTCTTCCATTGATAAGCAGAGACTGAAACTGGAGGGGCTAGATTTGAATTTTATTTTCATTCTATGGGTCTCAGCGGTTTGTTTATTGAGAAAAACAAATTTGTTATAAATCACCAGTAGTCACTTTTGGTCCTGCAGGTTGAACACATTAACAACATTTTAAGCCATGTTACATTTCCCTGTAACTTTTCTGACACTCCAAAGTTAAGCTTAAAAAATGTTCTTGTTTATTGTCCCCCGATGGAGAGATAGGATGGACTCCCTTGCTGCTAACGGCACTAAAGAGTAAAACAAATAGCAAACTTCAGTTTTAAACTTTCAACTAAAATAATAATTGCTTGTGTCTGATGTGACTCTCAGGACAAATCTCTGAAATACCCGTCCCATGTGAGTGCACAAATGTAACCTGTCCATGCTGAACATTTTGTAACAAAGTTTTTCACGTTTTCTGACACTATTGATCAGGGATGCCACAATAAGTCACAGCAACAGCATCAATAGTCAACGCAACCACATTCAACCAACTGCACTCACAGATGCACATGCATTCTTACACTGATATGCAAATGAGTGTGTATCATTTAGCTCACTGCCTTGCTCAGGGCACATTGACATTTGGCAGGAGAAAGCTGGAATATAATCCACAGCGTTTGGATCTTTCCTTTCAGCCACAGTGGCGTTTCGGTACGGATGAGGGTTCGTTTATTGTTGAATGTGACTGAACAAAAATATCATGTCTTACTAAACCCTGGCTTTTTAGGTAAGGATGCAGCATTACATAAAAACTCTGAAGTTTTTTGACATTATGACCAGAGGTTACATTTATTTAAGTAACTTAACTTTAAATATATAAATATATGTAAAATAGTTTTCTCCATTAAAACTATTATTTTAAGGAAGATGATGGGAGTTCATCCTGCGATCGGTAGGTTGTTGGTTCAATTCCCACTCTATCTGCCTTTGCTGTGTCCTTGACAACGACGCTCCACCCGCCTCGCCTGCTGTGGTCAGAGAGCCCAGCAGGGGGCGTCGGTGCATGGCGCCCTGGCCTGTGCCAGACTGCCCCAGGGCAGCTGTGGCTACTGTTCAGTAGCTCACCACCATCAGAACTGGAACCATTGATTTCATTAAAAACCATGTGAGTGTCCAGAGAAGCGCTTTTTTAGTCTGATTTCATTTTAGATGAAAAATTCTTTAAGTCAAGTATCATTTTGGCAAACCCTAAACCGACACATGTAGGTGAGGTGATCCACTGATCCACTGGGAATTGAAGTCAGGATCTTCTTGCTGTGACTTGGTTGGGAAAGTGCTGTGTCAAAGGAACATGGAAATTAATGATACCTCTCAAATATCTGGGCCTTTTATGTGGAGACTTTCTGCACATTCAAAACTCCTAAAAGTTGTTGTGATGCCTTTTCCATCCGAACCTACAGACATTTTTCAAATATGACACAATAAGGTAGCAGTTAAGATCCTCACATACAAAGTGCCAAACAATCCGTTTAGGTCTCAGTGCAGCAAGATGTAAAGCAAGCTTTATTCTGTGACTTTTCACAAAGACACACACACTTACACACCAACACATGCTGACACAGAAGACTTTATAAAGGCCTCTGCTTTGTCCCATAAGGTTTGCTCTCTCTGTTCATTTCTATCACTGCATCAGGTGACGTCTGCAGCAGCTTCTGATAGGTCAGTTCTGACCGGCCGGTTCTGGGATCAAGCCCAGTTGGCTTCAAGTCTTCCACTGAACCTGACAGGACCAAAAAGGAGAGGGAGGAGATCAGAGGGGAGCAAAGTGGGGGGTGTTGGTGGACACGGTCAGAGTCTGTGGGGGGTTCATTGAGTTCGCTAAAAACCCACCCATCACTGCATCCTTCCAGGGAGAGCGCTGGAGAGTGACAGGGCTGCGCTGTACGTGAGGCTCCAGGAGACAGACACGCCGCAGCAACGCATTCAAACTTCTCCAGCAAAAAGCACCAAGAGGCAAAAAATAAGAGGCATTTACATGACACTGGCTACTTTCTGCAACAGCACAATAAAGAGATCCAGGGTGTCCAAAGGTGACACGCAGCACTGTTTTGGCTCTTTTTCTTGTTCACCAACTTAATGATGTCTCCCAAATGACCCTGAGGGAACTTGAAAGGTTTCTATTTCAGGAGTTTTGGTACAATGTGCCCATGCAGCGCCTTTCAAAGCAGTTAAATGACTTTGTTTGCTGACTGATTAGTGTGTGTCAGTGTCAACAGGTGGCCACCAAAGACGGGCCCCTCATCCTCTTTAAACTGCCTCTTCCTCCTGTAAACCACAGCTTTACATTCACAAAGAGACCTGTTCAGACCAGCTCTCCTCTCTCAGGCACCACAGCCAGAGACTGGACTACTTTAAACACACATCTGCATCCATCCATGCATATTTACACACACCCATCCTGGAAGCAGGGAACAATATATCAAACAGCCTGGACTATGGCTGTGGGATGAGAAGCACAAAGCAAAGTGAATACATGGCTGACAGAAAGGAGTCAGCTGAACAGCAGCTCATGCCTGGAAACATTGTAAACACCCCTCAGGGGTACAAAGTAAGTAACCTTCCCTCTTTCAGCGCAGAGCCTCCTTACGTGTCTCAACAGCTCTGAGCTGAGAAAAACGGGCTCTGCAGCGCAACCAAGTCATAAACATGAAGGGAGTGAGGACGGATGCTGTTTTTGTACCTAAACAGACTTTACTCTCCACACAGCCTCAAGCAATGAAGTACATTTAAATAGTGCAATCATTTTGTAACAGCTTCTGCTAAAAAAACAAAACAAAAAAACAACAACTAATGAATTTAATTCAACTTTGATTTGAAGTCCCCAAGAACTTTTTTGAAAACATTGCTAATTACAAACAAGTCAATAATTTCCTTTCCAGTAACGTTCGGGTTTATCTTTCTTTTTTTAATGCGGTTCTTGTTCCATCCAGCCTCACAAACAACAAGGTGCTGGCCCCAACACGCCTCACCTGACCTGCGCAGGAGAGGAAGTTGTCAGTGATGATCAGGGACACCTGGGTGGGCTTGGGATGCTAAGGAGCCGCTCCAGCGTGTCTCCACCTGCACCTCCTTGCTGAGGGTGAAGCAGAGCTGAGGCTACTGTGTGGAGGGAGAACGTAGCCTAAGATTGGTCTCTTCAAATCCCCGAAGGCCCAGGCATGGCTGTCAGATACACGGAGTTCAGTTTATTCTTAGGAAACTGATTCGAAACACAAAGAGGCAGATCAGCTCATCCAGACAGCAACACCAGTACAGAAGTAGAAGAATAAAGTCTTCCAGATTCACAACTTTCATTTCAAAGTCATGTTACAAATTAAGAAAGAAAATTTATTCATGTCACTTAGAAAAATCAGAAATAATCTGACAGTAGAAGCTTCAAAATGCTGAAATGCCAAAATTCATTCTTATATAACTTATTGTTTGATTAGCTGGACCAGATGTCAACCAATAAACTTTATAAGCAGACATTGAAAACTGGATAAACAATAATATTTGATCTTTTTGACTTGGGACATATCTGTACATACCACCACTGCCTTTTCAAAAGGTTTTTTTCAAATAAAATCAAATAAACCTGTAAATTCTGATTCAAGAGAAACTCCTCTGGTCAGTCTGAGCATCAAACTCTTGGTATAAAGTACCATAAAAATGTGAAAACATGTAACTGTACCTTTTAGAAAACCATGTAAACAGTGACTCTGAAGCAAAGTTGCATTAGTGTTTTAAAATAACAATTAGAATTGCCAATCTGTTTTCATCATAATCAATTCTTCTCAATATGCAAGTTAGTGATTTTATTTTTTTGACTTTCCCATAAAAATGAGCCCTTGTGGCTAAATCTGGCATATTTACATGACTGTTTAGTTTACTCGTAGTGATCAAAATGCATTGCCTCTTGTTAAATAAATTCAAATTTAAAACACTTTATAAGACAAAAAGCCTTCAACCTGTGTCAAAAAATCAAACAATCAAACAATCCAACACACTCCAGTCATGTAGAAAGATTGAATTTCAGCTACCTCCAATTCAATCCATCACATGTAGGAAAAAAAATCAACTCATCAGAAACAGAAACCAGAGCAGAATAAGTGTCAATCTGCAACAACCGGGTCGGGGTGGAGAAGACGTACGAAGAACAAGGAAAACAAAATAACCAAACCGGAATACTTTCTGCCCTTCACTGGTCAGACCCAAAAGTCTCTAAGGGCTGAAAACTCGCTTCCCCAGAAATTCCCCAGACAGGAAAGTTGCTGATATTTCACAAAAAAATTAGATAAGAATATATAGACAAGTTCAAATAGCTGAACTGAATCTGCGGCGCTGAGGCACAGACTGCGCCATGACTGACATCTTCTCATGAAAAACATGGTCTTGGGATAAGGCCTGATCCTTTGGATGAACCAGTAATGACCTCCTATAATGAAGTCTTAAGTCTGAATGTTTCATGGGGTTCAAAGCTAAAAGGGGCAATTGAGAAGTTCGGAGCTGAACTTCTCTGCTGACCTCTCTCGTTCACCTCTTTCCCTCTCTTGTGCTTCTCGCTCCGCTCCTGTGAATACGGGACATCGAATCCCTCAGCAAAGACACATGGGTGCAATGCAGGGTAAAAAGGAAGATTGGCATCGGCTCACCTCACTGCTCCAGTGCCTTTTGGCAAAGCCCTAACCACTGCAAACCGCAAAGACGTCACAAAGACGCCACAGTTCAGCTTTGCTGTGGGGAGGCAGAGGACTCCAGCTGACCTCTGAGCTCCATATGAACACAAAGCGAGTGAAACACCTATCCACATCCATCTGTTGGCTAAACAGCTGCCCCCCCTCAGCCAACCTTGCCCAAAACCAAGCCTGCGCCCTGGCCTCAGAGCATCGTGGAGACCCCAGAACTGGGCCGTGCCCCGGCTGGCAGCATCCCATCTGAGGAGAGGAGGGATTTGGGCCAACTGGCCATGAGGCAGATGGGGTCCAGGGCAGAAGGGACCCAAGCCAGTTTTATGGTACAATGCCACACAAAGGCTCAAAGGTGTGAGGAAGAATAGAGCTCAGGGAAAGAAAACTCAAGAAGAATCAAAGGAGGCCAACAAACCTTTAGAATGACAAAAGCGTTCTTTTCAACGCTACAATATTTGCACACACGCACACGCACGCACACACACACACACACACACACACACACACACACGCACGCACACAAACACACACACACACACACACGCACACAAACACACACACACACACACACACACACACACACACACACACACACACAATTACCCCATCAGCACACCCCCTCCAGTACAACACTGCAGGATCTCATATATCTCATGCATTATTCCAAGCAAATTCTTTTGTTTGCCTACTTTTTCCTTCTATCTCTGACACGATGTGTTCAGCAGGAACACTTCACACTCTTCTAATAATTGCCTGGCTTTTGTTCTCCTGTCAGGAAAGCATTCAGATCATTCCTACTGGCAATGCAGGAGCTCACAGTTCATTCAGACTAATTGTAGCAGCCAGGCCAGCGGGAAATTAGCTGGCTCTGGGTCCATGTTGGTGCCTTTAATTACAAGTTTTCTTTCCTGTAAACTAATAGTTTGTGTCAAACACACTGTTCTGCCAGAGCTGGCTGACAATTAGTGGATACGTAGGTAACAGAAGATTTTAGTTGTGCCTGGGACTGAGCAAGAGTCTTTGCACTTCAGACAATTAGTTAGATTCCCCTGAAAGGAAGGAGAAACGGCCCAATTGAAGGACTTGGTGTTTATGTGAAGTGCTATCCATGCACTGCTCTGCTGAGTGGGAGCAGAACTTCAGAGATGAAATTTGATTCAGAGCTTTTGCTCCTCTGCTTAGCACATCAAGGTAATTTAAGGACCTGGCTTTAGTTTGATTTCATTTTGATTTTCATCAGACTAAAACAGGGGATTTAGAAGCAGTCACTGGATTTACAGGAGGGAGCGGTGATGTAATAAGAGGATGAAAATGATGACTCCACGCGATCTCATTAGTTTTATGGCCGTTTGAAAGTGTTGTTGTGACTGGCTGATCCATTGTGTCCATAACCCAGACAGGATTAAGCCTTGGAAATAAAATGTAATCCTTTAGGATGGATGTTGGGTCATTACTTCACCTGTTGCACGACTTTCATGAAATAAAGGTGAGGGGGTTCACGTAGGGGTCGAGTCAGACATGCGCAATGAATGATTATTACCTGATTCTGCAAAGCTGATGATCTCCGAGGTTTCTCCCTGAACGTCGTTGCTGAAGGCGGCCTGGCCGTCAAGTTGGGAATCTCCACCCGGCCGTCCTCACGCACTTTGCCGGCGTGCAGCCTCCGCAGCGCTGTCACCATGGCTGCTTTCGGGATGGGGTGCGTGATGTTCGGCCTGTCCCGCATCTGCAGACGATTCAGGATGTGCCGCTTCACCGCCTCCACGAAGTCGATGTTCACCCGCTCCGACTGATCCGGCGCCCTGAGGCCGCAGGAGGCGCACGACTCCCGGGATGAGCTCGGAGTGTCCGTGGCGCTCAGAGTGCTGCTGCGCACGTACACGGCGCACGCAACCAATGACAACGCCAAACTGTATAAGCCCATCGTGCCTCCAAGCTTTAGTTCAAATAAGAATATAGGCTTAATGAATTGACTCACACAAATGAATTAAAGCTACATTCAGCTCACACGTTTGCAAGTCCCGGGGATCATGAACCGCTGCTCCAGCAGACACTTGCAGAAATCCACTCACACATTCCCAAACATGCAGAAGAGCCGCAGAAACTGAGACTAACGTTGTCCAGTCGATGAGCTGCGCCTGGTCCAACACTGGCTGAAATATTGCGCCAGATTAAAGTTCATGTCGCTCACACCGCCTTCACTTGATGATCTGTCAAATCAGCGCGCAGCAGAGAAACGGACTCGCCACGCGTCCGGTCGGCTCTCACATCCAGCAGCTCAGTCAGTCGGAGGCGTCTGCAGCCGCTCCGTCTGTCCCGAGTGTTTTGTGTGCGCGCACACACGTGAGGATTTCCACCCACAGGAGGGACAATCGCGACATCTTCAGTCCCACTTTCATTATCCTCCGGCCCCACGCAGAAGTTGCGTCATGAACCTGCTGACAGCCTCACTTTTTCCCTTCAGTCTTTTCCGCTTTTCTTTCTGTTGCTGCGGATGCAGGAGCAACTAAGTTGTCGTTGTTTCCAGACTGTAAAAGTCGAGCCTCTCGTTCAATACAGTTTAACATCATTAGAAAAACTCACTGCATCTCCTGGAAGTGTTTCCAGCTTTCAAACAGCATGCGTTTTCCACTTTTAACTTGTTTTATTTATAGTACATTAAACTTCAGAGGTTTGGACGTTTTAATCAAAGAAATTGCGCCACCTGTTGGCAGAAATAAATGACTCCTTGTCAGGGGAATTTTCATCCAGTCGTTGTAACTTGTGACCTTTGAAATAGTTTTAATCTACAGCTTTGCTAGTTTTCCACTCATGTTTTAATTTGTTGCGTCTCTCTGGGATAAAATCAGGATTGTGTTTAGAATAAGTATATTCATGATCTAATCATACATAAAAGTGCATAGTATAAAATTCAGTATTATAAATCCAATGTGTAAAATAGTCTGATTGCAATGAAGCTGTTTCTTCTTCCATAACTTTATTTATTTTTATATGCATAAATTAAAGGTTTAGTTATGCAGACAACATATTCTGATTAAATATTGATGAATGCAGTCCGTATCGTCTTTGAAAACTATAAACGGACAAATGTATTTTTTTGAAAAGCTTCATGTAAGATAGATTTTATTAATGCATATTAACCCCCTAAAAAGGAATCCCTTATGATTTTTGATATTTAGCCGTTTTTGAAAATATGACATTTTGTCATGATGGGTCTGAGTTTCTTTCCCCACATTCAGACCACCACCAGGAGAACAGCTGATCACATCAACACAGTTTATTTGAACAATGAGGAAAAGTGAGACTGTAGTTCTTGTCCTTGGGGTTGGCAGCCAGAAGAGCAGTGAGAAAGAGATGGTGAGTTTGAGGGCGTCGGAAAGTGGAAACTCAGGAAGAATCAGACCGATCTTACTTGAGATGAAGCTCGACTTCTGCCAGCAGGGCGATGCCGTGGTTTCCAGGGTTTGGTCTCTGGGTGTCCTTGAAGCGATCCGGGACTCGGTTCTATGCAGGTAGCCGTAGAGGCTGCGGCAGAGGGCGGACAGGTAAGGTCGGGTGTGGAGGCTCGAGGCGAAGCGACGGCCGGCTGAGAATCCAGGAACGGTTTATTGGAGATCTGCAGAGGCAAGGAAGGAACTCGGGCAACCGGGGGAAGCGATCCACGGCGTCACGAGGGGAGAAATCCAGAAGACAGAAATCAGGCTTCACAAGGAAACACCTGAGAGAGGCAACAAGGATTAATTAGTAGAAGTAATTTCAGAGATAGCGCTGAGCGCTAGCTCAGAGGGCCGCAGAGTACCATTACTGGCAAACACTCAGGCAACCAAGAGTTCTTCTTCTTCTTCTTCTATAGGGTTTTCTGGCACTTTGCAAACTTTGTGCATTACCGCCATCAACTGGACGGAGACGTAATTCAGAAATTCGTTTTTCCTATTAGTCTTCAAATCTTAAAATAACTAAATTATGTACATGTTTATACATTCAGACACATACAAACTAAATCCTCTCAGCTAATTTTGTATCTTTTAAATATTTAATAAGTGCTCGAATTATATCATTTGATTGCTGCTTCCCTAATAAATTATCCATATTTATTGACCATCACCCTTTCCAATTCTTTTCTGTATTTTATATATTTTCTATAACAAATCAACACATGTCCTTGTGTTTTCCTGCAATAAGAACAATCAACTGATGGATGTTTTCTTATTATTTCAAACCACTATTTAAACTAGTGCCCAACACTCAACCTGTTAATCCATATTTCCTCTCTCTCATTTATTATAATATTATTTCTCATGATTACCTCCTTCTGTATTTTATGTAAATTTCTTCCTCTTTCTTCTAAATTCCATCTCTCCTGCCATATATTATTTATTTTATCTTTAATAATTACTTTTATTTTTCCTCTACTTAGTGGGACATTATATTCAGTTTCTCTTGCCTTAACTGCTTCTTTAGCCAATTTATCTATTTTTTCATTACCTAACAATTCTTTTATGTGCTGGAACCCAAGTGAATTGAATACTTATCTGTTGTTGCTTTATACTATACATCAAATAAGTAACTTCCTCTAAAAGATCTTGACGGCTCTCAGATTTAATGCTGGTTAAGCAACACATTGAATCTGAGCAGATGAGCCTCACTAGGCTTCACCTAAATAATTGCCAACAAAAAATTGATAGATTATCTGTTCTTCTTTTTCTAACAACTTTTTGTTTTGAAATATAAACTGCTACTCTTGTTTCACCATTTTCCTCTTTTGATGCACAGATAATCTATCAATTTTTTGTGTCATACTTTCATGCTTTATTTATAAATTCTGCTGAATAATTTGATACAAATCTCCACAGGACTGATCTATATTTTTCGGTTTCTAAATTTACTATCAGCATTTTAATTAACCATAGAGCAATTTTAGAGTTACAATTTTATGCATGCTGTATGATTTATCTCCATATGATCTGCAGAAATATTTCCCTTCCATCCAAAACTCATGATGTTATGGCCATATTCTCAACATTCTCTGAATACCTGTTTATTGGCTCATTTTTCTCCAGCCCTTGTAAATTTAACCAATAATTTGCTGACTAAGTCTAGTGGCATTTCCTCCAGTAATAACCTGAAGAGCAGGAATTGGAGACGTTCTAAAAGCCTCAGCACTTTAGCTTGGATTCTATCTAAATGTATTAGCTGACTTATAAACAAAACATCCATAGTCCAACACAGAACAAATTAAAACATCATATATTTTTTTCAAAGATCTGCTTGATGACCCCAAATCATTCCCTGACAAAATATTAATACCTTTTATACATTTATCAATAATCATCTGTACATATAGTCTTATGTTGACAATGTTGTTGTTAATAATTTATCACTTAAAATTTTATTTTAATTTGTTTCACTGTGATGTTGTATTAAAAAGTGTACGTTTTATAGTGTTGTAATTGCTCTAACCCTAACCCTCTCCAGTCAAAGTTCACTATAACTTTCAATTCTGTTGCTGCCATTGAAGTTTTTGTTTTGTCTTCTGCTGATAATTTTTCATCAGCAGAAGACAACATTTGTTTCTTCAGTTGACCAAACATAGGAGACAATGTTTTCCTTTCACACTTTGGCTTTCAGCATGTGTGAACTGTTTGGTCCAAAGGCCAAGGCATTTGACCTTCATTTCAGTGGAGGACATTTTGTGTGAGTTCAACCCAAATAATCCTCCTCTTTGGGCTGCTTGCTGTTTCTTTTATCGTCCACTAGATGGAGGCATAGCCATGTCAGGTGAAATCTGCATCACTGTTTCAGCTATTTTCAACTTTAGAATTGCTTCCTGTTCTATAAAGATAGCCGAAATGAAACACAATGTTTGTGGATTAGAGTTCAGAACGTGGAACATATTAAGAGGTCAGATTCCTTTTGCAAGATTCTATAAAGCCATTTCACTACCTCTGAGGTAGTGAAATGGCTTTATAGGGAGGGCAAAAACTACCTGCATAATTGTAATTATGGAGGGACAGTTTGATATTTGGATTTGTTTTGCAATGAAGCCAAGCCAAGCAGTACATCACAGCAAAGTGGAGATTTGGAAGCAACCTCCCATGTGGATCTGGACAATAAATGTTGGTTATTATATGGGATGAAAACCTCTTAACATGTTTCATACACAGTCAATCAATCAATCAAATTTTATTTGATTAGCACATTTCAGCAGCAAGGCATTTCAAAGTGCTTTACATCATAAACACAAAAACACAAAGTCATGCATCATGGAGTAAACAGTACATTGTTACATATTACATTTCAAATAAAATTCTAAACAGGTGTGTTTTTAGTTGAGATTTAAAGAAAGTCAGGGTTTCTGCTGTTTAACAGTTTTCTGGAAGTTTGTTCCAGATTTTTGGTGCATAGATGCTGAAAGCTGCTTCTCCTCTCTTGGTTCTGGTTCTGGGGATGCAGAGCAGAACCAGAACCAGAACCAGAACCTGAGAGTCTGGAAGGTTGATACAACAACAGCAGATCTTTGATGTATTGTGGTGCTAAACCGTTCAGTGATTTATAAACTAACAACAGTATTTTAAAGTCTATTCTTTGAGCTACAGGGAGCCAGTGGAGGGACTTTAAAACTGCTGTTATGTCTCTATCTTCCTGGTTTTATTGAGAACAGGAGCAGCAGCTTCTGGATCAGCTGCAGCTGGAAGATTGATTTGTTGGACAGGCCTGTGAAGACGCTGTTGCAATAATCAATGCGACTAAAGATAAATACATGGATGAGTTTCTCTAGATCTGGCTGAGACATTAGTCCTCTAATCCTGGAGATGTTCTTCAGGTGATAGAAGGCCGACTTAGTAATCGTCTTTATGTGGCTCGCAAGGTTCAGGTCTGAGGTCGTCACTACTCCCAGGTTTCGGGCCTGATCGCTAGTTTTTAGTTGTAATAACTGAAGCTGTGCATTGACTTTAGATTGTTCCTCTTTAGGTCCAAAAATAATGACTTCAGTTTTGTTTTAGTTCAGCTGGAGAAAGTTTTGTCTCATCCACACATTTATCTGTTCTAAGCATTTATTCAGTGATTGGATGGGGTTAGCGGAACCGCCCCTTGGGTCACGCGGATGGGGTGAGCGGACCCCCCCTGAGTGAACCACCCTGGCTCCCCTGGTCCTCCCCGGTCCCCCCCCCAAACCCCCCCGGCCCGGCACGGGCCGGACCCCCCGCTGGACGACCCCCTCCGCGTCCACAGCCCAAGTCCCATCCGCCTAGCTCCAGGGCGGAGAGGGGGCTGGCCGGTCCCCAGGGGCCGGTCAGGGCCTCCCCCTTCGTGGGGAGACCCGAGCCCCCCCTCCCGTCCACAGCCCAAGTCCCATCCGCCTAGCTCCAGGGCGGAGAGGGGGCTGGCCGGTCCCCAGTGCCCGGTCAGGGCCTCCCCCTTCGTGGGGAGACC